TGGCTTCTAGGGCAGACCATACATGTTGCCCTGATTGAGAAATAAGTCATACTTTAGATGTTAGTTTAAATTGAGAGAAGATAATGAAAACAAGTTTGCTGATAGGACACATCCTATTACTTAGTTGTCCTTCTCTGCTGGGAATTCAGGCCAGTAAATTTGAGAATGAGCAGTTTTTCAGGCCCAGAGCAAAGCCTTCTGGCATCAAGATTGGATAGCCATCACCAGAAACTTTTCAACTTGGGAATTCTTGTTTGTGGCTGTCTTCAGGCTAGAAGATATTTCCTGTTTCAAAGGTCCTACTTTTGGGGGAAAAAAAGGCAGGAGGTAGTGGGGTGGGCCTGGTGGCAGATACCCATAATCCCAGATATTCAGGAGGTTAAGTCAGGAAGATTGCAAGTTTGAGGTCAGGTTGGGCAATTTAGTGAGACCCTGTGTAAAATAAAATGTAAAAAAGGACTGAGGGAAGGCTGGGGTTGTGGCTCAAAGGCAGAGCATTTGCCTATCATGTGTGAGGCACTGGGTTCAATCCCAAGCACCATCTAAAAATAAAAAATAGAGATATTGTGCATATATATATATATATATATATATATATACACACACATATATACACACACACACACACATATACATACATATATGTTTTTTTTTTTTTTAAAGGACTGAGGATAGAGCCTGGTGCTAGAGCATTGATACATTGGATACTGAACAGTCTAAAGAATGCATATTGAATGTTCTCAGGGAAAGGAGTGTGTCTTTTTTTTTTAATGTTTTTTAGTTGTAGGTGAACACACTACCTTTATTAAATTTATTTATTTATTCTAATTTGTTATACATGACAGCAGAATGCATTTCAATTCATAGTACACATACAGAGCACAATTTTTCGTATCTCCTGTTGTACACAAAGTAGAGTCACACCATTCTTGTCTTCATACATATACTTAGGGTAATGATGTCCATCTCATTCCACCATCTTTCCTACCCCTATGCCCTCTCCCTTCCCAATACCTGTATTTTATTTTTTATTTGTATGTAGTGCTGAGGATCAAATCCAGTACCTCACACATGTGAGGCAAACACTCTACCACTGAGCTACAACCACAGCCCCAAGGAGTACATGTGTCTTAAACCTCATCAACAATTTTGAACTAACCTAATGCACTGGAATATCATCTACTTTACATCATTGATGACATCTTAATCCTGATGTGGCCAAGAGCCTCACAGTCTGTATCATGTGAAGTTGAGTCTTTAGGAGCCTCTTTGCTCATTTTTCTTTGATATAACCTGTAGTCCTGTGCTCTACCAAAGTTGTAAAGGTTAGTATTGCATACTGGGCACTCTGTCTTCCGGCTCATGCATTGTTAGTTATACTTAGGACAGTGTGGTCCTTATTACAGGCTTCCTTTCACATCAAATAGAAATGTTTCCGCTTCACCAGAATCTGACATTGGCTAAGTGAAGATGTGTGAAACCCTAGCTCTTGGCTTATGATTAGAACTATCTGGAGACAATCAGAACTTCCAAACACCATTAGTAATTATAAAATTAGAACCACTTATTTACTATTCATTATGTGCCAGCCATTGGACAATCCTTATCTCATTCATCTTCACATCATTCTTTAAAGGCAGTGCTATCCCCTTTTACAGATATAAAAACTGAAACTCAAAAAAATAAAGAAAATTACATAAAATTACATAAATTTACCTGGTTAATAAGTGCTTGTCAAGCATGTACAAAGGCCCTGGATTCAACCCCCAGTAGCACATATACACATAGAGTAGAACTCCAATTCAGTTTGTTTCCTTCCTTTCTCTTTCTTCTCTCTTTTCTTGGTCCTGGAGATAGAACCCAGAGATGCTTCACTACTGAACCACATCCCCAGTCCTTTTTTTAAATTTTGAGACAGGGTCTTACTAAGCTAAGGCTGGCCTCAATCCTTCTGCCTCAGCCTCCCAAATAGCTAAAATTACAGGCATGTGCTGCCATTCTTGGCTCAAGTAAGTTATTTTTCTATCAGGCTCTTACCAGGACCCAAGTTCCTGTCTACTAAGGGTCATAAGTGGAGATGTAAGGGTTCCTTAAAGATTAATTATGTCTTTTTTTTAGTTTTTGGCAGACACAACATCTTTGTTTGTATGTGGTGCTGAGGATCGAACCCGAGCCGCACGCATGCCAGGCGAGCGCGCTACCACTTGAGCCACATCCCCAGCCCAAGATTAATTATGTCTTGTAGGTGATTTCTGACTTTGAAGCTATTTGAGCTAAGGTAGTGGGCCTAGTTCTAGGAATCCCACAAGCCCAATAGCTGATGAAAGAGGGTTTGTATGTGCTTGGGGACTAGACTGTTACCTGATGAATTGGGAAGGGATCTCAACCTGATAGGGGCAATTGGAGTTACCAGGAAGCCAGATCCCAAAGCTGTAAATTAGGGTAAAGTCTAAGGTCTTTTTCTTTTTCTTTTTTCTTTTTCCCCCTAGGGATTGAACCCAGGAGTGCTTTACCACTGAGCTACAGCCCCTACCCTTTTTATTTTTTATTTTTCAGACAGGGCCTGGGGCTGGGGATGTGGCTCAAACGGTAGCGCGCTCGCCTGGCATGCGTGCGGCCCAGGTTCGATCCTCAGCACCACATACCAGCAAACATGTTGGTTCCGCCAGACAGGGCCTGGCTCAGTTGCTTAGGCCCTCAGCCTTCCAAGTTGCTAGAATTATAGGAATGCACCACCGGGCCCAATAAAGCCTAAGGCCTTTAAACACAACCTGAGAAATTGCTCTTGCCACACCCAAGCCAGAGTTGAAGCTCAAATGGCACATGTTCCTAAAGTCTTTAGCTCCAGAAAGCAAAATCCCAGACTTGGCAAGTGCTCTGAAGTGCTGAATGAGTTGAGGCCAAGACCTGAGCTTAGAGTATGTTCTCTTGAAAGTAATTGAGAGGTGATGAGGGCAGGAGACAGTAGTCTAGATGAGCTGATGGGCAACTTTTTGCTAGGTAAAAGAGAAAGAAAGGAAAGAAGCCCACATGAAAGACCAGGGAAGGAGGAGGCAGCACTGGGCAATATCCAGATAAGAGTGGAGCCGTAATCATGCACTGTGTAATGATCCAGCCAGGCTTTTGGTTTCCTTCTAAGGAGCTAGTAGCTCAGGAGCCTTTTCTGCTTTGAACTTCCTGTAACAAACTGTACTAGGGTATACTTTGAAAAGCCCGCCTTACTGAGAAAGGAAAATTCCCTGTTAAGTAAGACCTTAGACATTCCATTCTTCCCTGGCAAGAGGAGAATGTCTAGGTGATCAAGGGAGTCTTGGAGGCCTTAGACTCTTGGGGCATAGTTAGAAGGTAGAGACATCTCTTAACATACTGCACCTTTTTCTCAGAAATTGGCTTTGACATGGTTTTTGTCTTTTAGTACCTGACACCTTTTTAAGGAAAGCCAAGCCCAGGTTGCTGGGTCATAGGCATTGCTGAGGCTGCCCATGTTTCAGGACTTAGGAAAACATGTATTACTTTATTTTGCTTGGTTCCTGGGGGATGTTTCCATCTTGGAGAAAATTTTGCGTTTTAGTGGGATTGAGCCATTCACTTCTGAGCCAAGACTCTGGCTCAAGTATATAGCCCATGTTCTTGGAAAGACTGGATTATTTTGTGACTGCTCTTGCTGGGCTGTGGTCTACCTACCTACAGGCTGACAATTGGAATTAGAAGCAAAGGAACCAGCTTGTATTAGGGTCTGTGGGAAAGAGCCAACAAAATTATTTTATGGAGCTGAGAATGTCTGGAAGGAAGAAAACTGGGCCAGAGCTGTGCCCTAGCTGTCCCTTCCTTCTGAACTGAAACTCAGAGAACTCTCCCTTAGGGACACAAGTTTTACCAGTGCTCTCCAGCTCATCTCTTTCCTCAGGAATTCTTGGCAGACAGAAGTGTTTGTTACCAAGTAAAGTCAGCCCAAACACAAATTTAGAATGGTAAAGGAACAGTCCAGAGGTACCTTTGTACTCCTTTGGAATCTATTCTCAATCCCTCTGACCTACCCTGACTCTGGCTTATTCTCTATCACCCTGCAGAGCTAACAGTCCCTCATCACTCATTTCTTCTCCTCAAGCTCCCTACTGAGCAGGGAGTTCTCCATGATGTCATAGGCTTTCATACAGGTCAGATAAGTGCCCTTAAACTACCAAAGTGAATAGTCATTCCCTCTCCTGGTAATTCTTTTCTGCTCAACTCACTTCTGCCTACTTGATGTAGTGCCTCTCCCCTGTCAGACCTTGCCTTTATTTGATGGTCTTATAAGTTGAAGTCATATCAGGCCTAGCTATAGTAGTCCTTTCCTTCTTAACCAGTCGTACCCAAGCTTCCCAGAGTCAGCCGAAGTCTGAATCTTCCCCCTGACATTCAACAATGTCTTTCTGACATTGTTGAAGAGAGAGATCTCTCATCAAAACAGAAACTATAGTTCAGTCTTGAAAGTATGCCCTATACCCAAAGGCTTGGATGTCCAAAAGTTTCATCCACACAATGGGTAGGAAGGCTGAGTTGGCATCAAGAGATTAAAAACAAGTGGCAGTTGGTGCTAAGGAATATCCCAGGACTGAAGAAATGTAGTTCCCAGAAAGGGAGAAGCAAGAAGACACTGGCAAAGTCTGACACTGACAACCTGGCCAGAGAAAGCTTCAGGATGAGGATGAGAGCAAAATTATAGTATCAGGAATATGAGTGACCTCAGACATTCACAGTTCTGTTACTTCTTCTCATGTTCTTTTATCATACCCAGAGTAAACATCCTTGGTGGCCAGGCTAGGTTGGTAAGGAAAGGAGGGGAATAGAAGAGATTAGGAAGTAATGTTCCCTATGGCCTGGCTTTTTTCTGGATGATAAGTAGTAAGCCAGGTCTTTTGGAGGTATCACCCTAGACTGAATCCAACCCAATAAGGTAGCAATGTGGGGCTAAGGCCCATGATTTACATGATCCATGCCCTGCTCTTTACCTCCCTCAGGTGCTAGAGGTAGTACGAGCCAACTATGACACACTCACACTGAAGCTGCAGGATGGCCTGGACCAGTATGAGCGCTACTCAGAGCAGCATAAGGAAGCTGCCTTCTTCAAAGAGCTGGTGAGTACTCTGCCCCTGGCTCTGCCTATGTTTCTCGGGGGCCCATTCCCAGCTACTAGGTTCTCTTTGTAGGTGGACATTTAGGGAACAGCTGCAATTTGCCACAGGCTAAGACTAGAAGGGTCTGCTGGGATCCAATATAGAACTTCTCTACCAAAACAGTTCAAGAGGAGGCAGTGAGAGAAGAAAATATTCCCAGTGCAGTACCTCCTCTGCAGCCATGGAGACAGCCCTTGCACAGCTCCAACTGGGCCTGGGTTTTGACGTGTGTTCCCAGTGGTAGTTCTGGCTCATTGCTCCTTATCAAGGCCTCAGAGCAACTAATGAGGATAATGAGAATCAATAATTCACTTCTTCCTAAATTCCTAACTGGTTCCTAGTCTGAGTGCCCTCCTAATATAGTTCTCAGGTTTTTACTCCCTACACCCACTCCTACTCTCCAATCACTCAGCTTCCTACAGTCCCCACCCTTGGCTACCCAGAGCCAGTAAGCATTTTCTCTGCCTCCTACTCCACCTCCTAGTCAGCATCTCCACAAAACTGATCTCTCCCTATTAATTGTCCCTTTTCTGCCCTGTGATCAGAGCTGCTCTCAGGAAAAATTCAGCCTCCCTATAGTCCTACCACACCACCTGCTTGGTTTACATAAACTTTCTGGCTGGGAACTAAGACCAGGACACTGAGGCCTCTGTACCTACTTCCCATGTCTTTAGACTTCCCGCTGCTGGAGTATAACTTCCAGTGGCCTAGCTTTTACTTCCCCACACCACATCCATCCACAGTGAAGGTGCTAGATTTTAGATCTTGTCTTGTGCTAAACAGCCCAAATCTGACCCTGACATGACCTCCTCAGGATTTCTCTGGTGTGAGTTAGTTGGGAACAGAGAAGCCATTAGTGTAAGGATATAGCAAGTAAGGGTATTTTTATGGGGTAGTTGATGAGTCTTTATGTCCATGTTGGGGAATTACTGGGGACCAGCAATTAACTATTGGGAGATGAAAAAGATTGTGAAGGAGAATTAGAGGAGCTCTGTCTTTAGGCTCTTTGGTGATAGCCTCTGCCTTACTCAGCTCTCCTGTTTGCACTTCTGGCACAGGGATGCAAAGTGAGTCTGGTCCAGTTGGGAGTTAATGAACTTGAGTTGCTTGCTGTTTGCCACGCTGTTCTTTCCCGTTTCCTACCTAACAACTTTATTAACTTTTCTACAACAAAGCAGATTTTAGGGCTCAAGACACACACTATCTCCTCCCCCCACCCTTTTGTTTCTCATAAACATACACATGGATGAACCTCCTTGCAGAGTCTGCTAGATTCCTTGTGGAACCCTCTCATAATAGAGGGTTTGGCCTTCTCAGCTGTTCTCCATAGGTCTTTCCCCTGATGGCATGGTGGATACTTCCTTAGCCCTGTGCCACAGGCACTGCTGTCTGCTGTTTGTAACTGACTATGTCCTGTTTTCTCTCTTTCTGTGCCTTCCCACCTTACCCCTACCCTTTCCCAGGTTCGATCCATTAGCACCAATGTCCGGAGGAACCTGGCCTTCCACACACTCAGCCAGGAGGTCCTGCTAAAGGAGTTCTCCACTATCTCCTGAGGCCATGCCCACCTGACGGCCACTGACTGCCCTTACTCATGAGGCTCCTGAGCTGGAGGGGTGCAAGGGGAGAGGGGGCTGCCTCCAAGACTGGAGAGAAACAGATACTGAGTTCTCCTGGTGAAGGCCACACTTCAGTGAAGCTTGGACAGCAGGGGCAAGCCAGGGATGATCTTATTTGGGGAGGAATGGGTGGGCAAAAGGAGAGACATCCAAGAACATGGGGACTTCTAGGTGGGTCCCCTGGACACCCCCTCACATTTCCAATTAACTTTACAAGTTGTGACTTCTGGCTGATTTTCAGAAGCTGGTGGGGCAAGCCTCAGGAGAGGCCAGGACCCTGAAGGCCAATGGCTTTTCTTGGCTTCTGAAAATAGATCAACTTTCAGACATACCAGGAGCCATATCCTGTTCCCTTTAAGCTTGGAGCTGAGCTGGGTTTGACATCTGTGTCCCTACCCTGCTAGGACTGTGTCCAGTCATTAGGACCCTCAGGTCAGGCTTAGGATAGGATAGGAGTGGGGCACTTTTTTTTTTTTTTTTCCCAATTCAAAGTTGATTCCTCTAAGAAACTGGAGGCTGGAATCAGTGCTCACTTTGTCTGGCCACCACTTTCTGGATTTTAGTTTTGGCACCAGAAATACCTGTTAGCTTTCCCTTGCCTTCCAGCCCATTGACTCATCAGCATAAAAGGCTTACAACCTTAGCTTTGCATTTTTAGTTTGGTTTAAACTGTCTTTAGGGTGTGCACAAAATAAACATTGACAGGTTTTCTGGAGCCCTTAAAGTGCCTACTTTGCTGGTTCCCTTTCCAGCAGTTTTCCCATCTTCTCAGCCACCCCCTCCCACTAGGGGCCTCTCCTGCCTCTGCTGAGCTCCCCTCCACATGTTCCACCCCCTCACCCTGCTGTTGTTTACATCCAGCCTGCTTAAGAATTTCCTCTGGGGAGGAATCTGTTCTTGCTATGGTCTGGTGCCTGGGAGGGAGAGAACCTGCTGGGAGCAGGGTGCCCTCCATCTGAAAAAGGCCAGGTGAGCATTACGTATAGGGCCTTCATCCTATCTACCCATATTCTGGGTGGGACCATGGGCAAATCTCCTGATCTTTGGGAAGTCAGTCTGTGGTTCCTCCTTTGTATAGCCTCCACAGGACCATTGTAGGGTTTTTTTTGTTTGTTTGTTTGTTTTTTTAACTCCACAGCTACCTCCAAAATAGCTGCTGCTATAAGACTCTCCCTTTCTAAAGCCCTTAGGATGGCAAGGAGCAAGCAGGCACAGAAATAATTGGATAAAGTGCAGAAATCCAGCTGTGAGAACAGGTGTGAGACCTCCCTAGCTGTTATCCATTTAGCCCTGTATCTCTTTGGTATACTTACCCTCCCTGGGAACCAGAGTTGTGGCTCCAACTTTTAGCAGATAAGCATTAGTTTCAGAGAATCCATCAACAAACTCCCATGCCTAGATGTATGATCTAAAGAGATCATGGACTGGGTCTTCTCTGATCACTGATCACTGTATGGATAGCTCAGCCTGTGACATTAGTATTTTCCAAGGTGATAAACCCCAGAACAGCTGGATCTGGAGCTGGTGGCAAATTGAAGTTATTAAAAATTGATCTGTGTGGGACAATCTTCTTAGTGTCCCCCACCCCCATAATCTGTGTGGCCCAGACTCAATTCTCAGAGACAGAGTTAAGGTGATCTCCCAGGTATTGGTCCCATCTGGCTAGGAGACCCCTGCCTGTCCTTAACAGACTCTCCTCCTGAGTGTCATGGCGTAAGTAGAGGACAGTTGAGCTCAGACACTTGTAGCCTCCCTTGCTTTCTGGATGAAAGAAGGCAGAATACAATTCCCTTATCTCCAAACTTCATAGTGTTGAGGTCAGCAAGTCCTTTGGGCTCCTTCTGGATTCCTGCCAGCATTTTGTATAAAATGAAGAAAGGCAGGTCTAGGACATGGGTCACTAAGCAGAGGACTCCTTGCCTTCCCTTGATACAGTCCATCCCTTGACCTTGTTTCTTCACATACACCTGTTCCAAGAACTCCAAACAGGAGTTCCCATTCTCTCCCAGAAATCAACCTCAAAAAGAGTTGCCCATGCCCAGCCTCTGTGCCAGGTATTTGGAGGCTTCTGCAGAGTCAGAGGAGAACCAGGAGCAGGGTATTGCTCCCAAAAGATAATTCCTGCTGGGTTGATTGAAACAAGTGGTTGGAAATTAAATCCTGTTGAAGAGATTAAATGTGCTGGGGTCACTTTAGCTGAAGCTTTTGTTCTCAGCAGGCCACTTCTCAAGACCCACCAAACACCATCCACCCATTCTTATGGCAGGGTTTGGGGGCAGAGACTGTGTTCTTGGCTAGGAGCCCAGGAAGTATCCTGGAGGCAATTCAGACACATTGAGACTAAGGGAGCCCAGCTCTGTGCTGTCCCTGCTTTCAGAAAAGGAGCTAATCTTAAGTGGAGAGGGCTTCATAAAGGGGCATTACTTGTCCACTCTGTCCTCACCCAGATCCCCAAACCCTTCACTACCTCCCTAAATCTGCTGGAAAACAAGGAATCTAAGATAGGGTAGATGACAAAAGAGAAGGGCAGAAAAGTTGAAAGGAAAAAAGAAATAGAAGAGCAAGGAAGTCTTGAGAAACTGACCTGGTTCACCGTTTTTTCTTATCTTCATGGATGGCCTAGGGGGTCATTATTAGATCAGGGAAGAAGGCCCACTGGGAATGGATGATATCCAGACATGGGGCCCTAAGTGAGAGTGGCATCCTGCTGGAACTTGAGGCAACAAAAAATTGTCCACAGCGCCTGTATTGGAGAACGGGTGGACTTTTCTCTGCATTCTCTTCCCACTTGAAGCAGAGAGAAGCAGGGTGGAGACGGGGGACTGGCTGGAACTGGCAGGAGGAACAAACAAAATAGGGGCTGACATGGAGAAACGAACAGGGGACCCAGAGGCATAACCCAGGCTCTGACTCCACCAGACAGTGCTGATGGTAGGGGAAGAGGGTGTCTGAAAATTGTGGCTGAGGTTTCCTCACAGTGGGGTCTCTGGCCCCGCTCTCTTGCACCCCAACATCGGTGGCTTGAGGTTGAGAGGTGGTGTTGCTGGGAGATGGTCTCCCTCCCTGCACTTTGCAGTTCACCCTTTCACCGGAGCCTCCCCCGAGCTGAAGAGGGTGGGGGGCGGAGGTAGGGGGAGCCAATCCCAGCAGCGCCAAAGAGGGGAGGCGGCAGTGACAGCCGCGGGGAGGGGGCGGGAGGAGAGAGGCGGATCGCTCCAGCTCAGAGCTCAGCTCCACTCTGCCTCTGGCTCTGCGCTCATTTGCCGCCGAAGCCTCCTGCTCCTGCCCCGGGACCCCCTAGTTTGGGCCTAGAACCCCTCTGGTCCCCAGACTAGCCCCCCAACCTTTGGCTCTCCCAGTCCCCAGCCCCAACGGTGCCCTAGGCCGCCAGGGGGCGCCGTGTGAGCGCCCTATCCCGGCCACCCGGCGCCCCCTCACAGCCCAAGCGGGAGTGGGGCGCCGGGGGCCATGCGGGGCCAGGGCCGCAAGGAGAGTTTGTCCGATTCCAGAGATCTGGACGGCTCTTACGACCAGCTCACGGGTGAGTCAGTGGCGCAGGGGTCACGGGAGGGAGGGTGGACTCCATCCCCCCAGATCCTTCCACCTCTCCTACCCTGACTTGCTCCATACCTGCTCTCTATCCCATTCCCAGGCACTCTCCCAGCTGGTCTAGGCAACTGGATACTGGGGTACAAAGCCTTGAGTTCCATAGGGGTGGAGGGGCAAGTGGGGCAGGTGTGGAGAGGCAGCAGGTGTGGGCGTGTGTGACACAGGGCTGGGAGTGTGTCTGGAGTGGGAGGTGTTACGTGAGTGAGCGCTTATCATTCCTATGTGTGTCTGCTTTATGTATGTGTGTGTACCTCCCACAGCTGGTTGCCATGTGCCTTGGGCTTGGTGACAACCAGGGTGAGTGTGAGTGCATGTGGCAGTGCAATTTATGATCTTGTCTGATGTTTGAATGAGGCTATGTAGGACCCTGGTTGTACTTAAGTTGTTTTGACCATGTGTCTTTGTTGTATGTGCAACTATAGGCTTTGAGTGTATGATTCTGTGTGAGGTGACATATGACAACCAGAATGTATTAGGGCTTCATTTATGGTGGTATGTCTCTTTATAAGATAAACTATGGACTGTGAACCTCCTGGAATGAACAGTTGTTAAAGTGGGTTGTTGTATATTTTGTGATTGTGAGATTATGTGGATTATTTTAACATTTGGTGCTGATTGTGTACTTTCATGTGTGATGGCTGCTGTGGGGCTCTCTGAATGTCCATGCCGTTCCTTATCCTGCTGCCTCTCTGGCTTCCTGTAGCAGAAGGGAGTCTTTAGTGCACCTCACTGCTTCCCCAAGTTTCCTGCAAATAACCCAGGTGGACCCAAGGAGAGATTCTAGTGTGCAGCTGCCCACACTCACATCCAGGTGTACCCTATGTTTCTAGCACCTGGCATCCATAGGGAGGCTTTGGTTAGTGCTGGATCAGCCCCCTCCCGCTATTACTCAGATCACTCTTACAAATGAAAATCCCATAATCCCCAAGAGCCCTTTGAGAAATTCACCAGAACCCCAGAGAAAACACATCCTCTTGCCTCCTTCCAGAACCAGGGATAGAAACTCTAGGCCTGGGAAGTGCTACATGTCCCCTCTTACATCCGTCAAAACCATTCTGCTGCCCAGACTTCTCTTTCTTACTTTGGGGAGTAATGTAAGACCAGGACATCTGTGCTTGTATTCATTCCTATGTTTGGTAGGTAGATCCATGTGCTTGTGTAGGTGACTGTCACCTTGTGTACGTTTCCATATATGTGTGTTTCTCTCATTGTGCAGCCTGTTTAAGAACTCCAACTGAGAATGGGAGGAGGGAGGCGGTTCCTTCTGAGCAGGGAATTAGGGGGAAGCCATGATCTTTGTCCTTCCTTATGAGCTCAGATTAAGACCTTTGAATAGGAGGGAGGGAACTAGGATGTAATACCTTAAGGATAAGTGTCTCCTCTGCTCTTTGTTCCTGGGAAGGACCTAGTTGTAATATCAAAACATCACAGAAGGGGCATCCTTCACTTAGGCCCCAGAGTCAGACAATGACACATGTGCCTCTCCCAGATGTGCTTCAGATTTGGATGGCTCTGAAAGTTCAGCTATCCAGTTCTATTATGAACTCAGTTTCCACTGCCAGTTCAGGATCTTTGAGAATTGTAATGGCTCAAGACCCTCATTAACACATTAGGGTTTGTTTCATGCCTTGATTTTCCACTTTGGGTGGAGGTGGGGTGGAGGTGGGGAAGCACTTGGATTTGAAGGTTCACTGCCTTAGTTAGGTCAGTGTTAGTCAGCTTTTGCATAGCTGTGACCAAAACACCTGATAAAAACAACTCAGGGAGGAAAAGTTAATTTAGGGCTCACAGTTTCAGAAGTCTCAGTCCATAAACAGCTGACTCCATTCCTCTGGGCTTAAGGTTAGCAGCACATCATGGAGGGAAGAGCCCATCTGAGGAAAATAGATCAGTTTATGGTAGGGTGAGGAAGCAGAGGGGGGGAAAGGGCTGCAGACAAGATGTGCCCTTTCAGGGGACACCCCCAGTCACTCATCTTCAGGCATGCCCCAGTAGTCAGTTCATTCAAACTAGCATGGACTGAGTAGGTTACAGTCCTCATATAATTTAATCATTTCACCTCTGAAAATTCCTGCATTAAGAGGAGTCTGGGGGGGGGATACCTCATATCCAAAC